AGATAGATATTCAAAATAAAATAGCAATATTACTCCTAAGGAAAGTGCTTCTTTTTTAAGCTATCATGAGTTTTATTTTTAATTTCAGACATGCAAATGGCATCTTACCAGGGCTATTTTCCATATACAATATCTTATTCAGGGCTTTATACTATGATCTTCCTTCACATATATTAAATACCATCAGAATGCAGTGATTTTTGTGTTTATATTTTAAGATAAAAAACACAAGGGCTAGAGATATAGTTCAGTGGTAGAGCACTTGCCTAACATGCATGAGGTCCTGGATTTGATCCCTAGAACCACCAAAATAAAAAAAGCAAGAAAGAAAGCAAGAAAGCAAGAAAGAAAGAAAGGTAAAGACTTTGAAACTGAAATTGAATTATTTAATTATTTGGATCACTCATCTTATACCAACTTGCTAAGAAAAAATATCTGTTTATATACACATACATTTATTTTATATTTATTTTCTAGATTTTTCTAAGCATCACTAGCATTGTGATTACTATGCACTTGCTTAAAACTCTTAAAATATAAAGTGAACTATCTAATTTAAATAGACATCAAAATTATTTTTAGAGGTTAGAAAAATGCAATAATCCTCCTTCAAGCATCTACCATAAGGAAAAATTGTCAGATGTAGAAGCACAGGTAGGTACAACAATGTTCACTAGAACATTACTTAAGATTGCAAGAAGAGTCCTGTATGTATAAAATGGGATTATTTACAATACTCTAAAATAAGATATCAAAAGTTTTTAACGATGGTGAGGACTATAAATGAAAAGGCAAAACACATGTGCTATAAAGAGAAAGCGGTTTCTCTCAATGATGGGGCATTTTTTTCCTTAATAATAGGATTATTCGTGGCATTTCCCTGTCCTCTATATTTTTAAATACTTCACAAAATGTGAGTTAACTTAAAAATATGACTTTTAAGTGTTTTATAGCCATGTGTTTGAATGATCCATAAGAATAATCATAGAATGGGTTTAAATGAAAACTAAAGTCTTCTTTGAATACAGTTTACATATTTTAAAAGAGGGAAACTGTCAGAGGCATGTATATTTGAAAACTGACCCACCTAAAGTTTCAGTTATTCTGATCTTCACATTAAAATGTTCATCATAGTTTCCTCTGGGGGAAGAAAAGAAATAGTAAAAACAGAACTAAGGAACTATGGAGGGGGGTTGAAGGGAGTATGGAAATCTGTGAACTTCCATTACAGCTTGATAACATCCTCAGATTCTTTAAGATATATTATTTAATATTTAGTTTTCACAAAAAGTATTATAGCTGGTCATATCTTAAGCTTTTGTTTCCTTGAAACAAATGTTACTTTACAAGAACCAAATTAAACTGTAAACCCCAAGTAAGTCCTATTATCATAATAAGTCAGCTAAATATCAAAAGGATTTTTATAAACATTTACATGTAAGTTAGTGATATAATAATCATAATAGTTCATCTTAAATTACACTTTCATTTTAAATAGCTGAGAAAATCTAATTTCCCATGGAATCTATTAAAAGATACCCATAAAAGAGGGTTCTCAAAATTCACATAAATGACAAACTGCAATCTGCGACATGTATACCTACAGCGTGAGGTGACTAGGATTGCTGTATGGCCTACATGTGTAAAGACAGTAAACAGGCACATCAGCAGCAGAGCTGGCAAGTCTGCCTGGTCAGTCTGCTGATTTTCCAGGGTGATGATGAATTTGCATTGATTTAGCAACCCTGTCTGGTCTAGGCCTTTGGAGGATGGTAGCATGCACCTGCAGTGGGTGTGGGCCAGGGGAGCAGACCACAGCATGCAAAGTGGACTGTCTCACCTGGTGATTAGTTTCAGCCATGAACTTGGTTGATTTAATTTGGTTCTTTTCTCATCAGCTGAGTTAACTCATCTTTAAGATTGAATCATATAAGCTAGCACAGCATTCTAGAATTTTTAGCCTTCCTTTCAGAAGAAATATCACCACTACTTTTCCAAAATATTTCTTATCATGTCATAGACTCAGAGGGGCTTTATAGTAATAAGATTCTCAGAAAAAAAAAATATTTCAAAAACATTTAAGTATATTCAGGGGTCTAAAACAGTAAAACTTTCAAAATCTGGAAATCTGAAGTAAATTGAAATACTCAGTCAAAGCAAAAATGATAAAACAAATAAATTCACCAAAACAAATGCTTTTTTTGTTTTAACTAGACATAGGAATTTCAAAGGCCTTAAGGTAGGTTATTAGTAATATCAAGAGAGCTAGAAGGGGCACTGGAATCTTGTCCTGTCATTATATAAGTCACAATTATCACTTTCTCATTTGTAGATGGAAAACTGGGTTTGACATGTCTAAGAGTCCTTCCTATTTTGAAATACTAAGAAATTCATATTCTTATAGATATATAAATCATATATTTAATATTATTTTTAAATCTATGTATTTTTAAAACCCATGGATAAGATGGAGCTGCTAAAGTGATCTAAGGTAAGACATAAAATTTTAAAAAGCCTGTCTTTTTAAATTAAAAGTCTTTAAGGATTAGAATGAAAAGATAACTATACAAAACAACCTGAAGGAGCTGGGGTTTTTTTCCATCTGAAAGGAGACAGGTTCACCTGGACAATGAAGAATATATTTTCTTAAGCTAATTATTTCTAGTACAGTACTGCAGTATTGCTGATTTTTAAAAGACACTACCAAGTTATTTTTCAGGTTACCTAGAAATATGATTTCTTCCCTTTTCCTCTCCTTTACTGTTAAGGATCCTTGCACAAATGTAAACCTGAATTTCATCTAATAAATTTCTTCATTTTATGGTGCTGCTCTGAAGGCTGGATAACTGAATGGATTTCGGAGCAGGAAGAAAGCATGTGCCAAATTGTTTTTAGCCTTGCAAATCCTCACAGTGTCTCTTAACATAGTCTTTGGAGGAAAATTAAAAATGGAAAGTAGAAGAAATGGTATAAGAGATAAACTCTTGAAAACTAGAATTGCAAAGCTTATAATATCCTCAACAAGGGAACTCCTACATTAGAACATTAGGTCAAAAGGGGCAGAGTAAAACAATTCCTACAGAAACAATCATAGTTTATTTGACTCTTCTTTTTTACAGACACTTAATTAAAATGACAGAAAACTAAGAGATGTTATTTCTAATTAAATATTGAGGTGAGCACAATCCATATTCATTGTCAATCAAGGTATTTCTAAAGAATTAATAATATTTCTAAAGAATCTAATTATAATTTGCTCATTTACTTCAACCCAGCCTTCCATACCACTCCTGCAAATGTGTACCTACTTGTAAAAAAAAAAAAAAACTATCAAATATCTCCCTATTTTGTAAGAAAAAAAATCTATCACCTGCCTTATAGGTCACCAATGAATCACACTCGTGACAACAAAACTAATATTATAGAAACTAATGCTACAAACTTAGTGGTTACAATGGAAGAGGGGAGTTTCAATTCAAGGTCAAACAGCTATACTATTCTAAAATCTTTATTTTGTTGGACACTTTAATAGTTTTTTTTTTAAAAGGGATCATCTTTAAGGTATTTTTTCAACTTTTTTCAAACGAAACTTGTAATGGATAAAGGATGCTTTCTTCTCAACACTAAAACTCAGCAATAAAGTATAACACCAACCAAAATGAATTTTTTTAAAATGGATTATTTGTAAGTGTTCATAAATAATAGTGCATAATGGTAAAAAACTGTCTACAAGTCTACTTGTTTTATTTTTAAATAATGTCACAATAATTTTGCTTTTATTTCATGTTTCCTATATCCTCTTATTGGATTTATATAACACTTATCTTCCAAGGATATAGATTGTGTATTATAACTGCACAAATATCAACTAGTTGTCAAACAACACTTTTACCTGAAAATTTTCTATTGCTATCTTTTGGAGAATAGCAAGGAGTGATGTGATAGGAAACAAAGCCGTGGTAAATTGGGAAGTCCGTACAAAGAAGGAGGAGGAGGTAAAAGAAGAAAGAAGTCATAACTTCAAAAAAGCCACCCACCTAACCGACGGAAACCCAGCTTCATTTGATCAGAGTCATCATCGCTTCAGGGAGGTGATAAGAAAAGCAGAACTTATGAATCTACTGCTTTCCTCAATTGTAGACAAGCTCAATTTTTAACAGAGAACCTTGTGATAAAGAAACAATTCCTCTGAATATAGTCTCTATCAATATTATAATTTGTTTTCTACAATATCAGCAGATGTACCAACTAAAGTTTATCAGCAGCTTACTCTTAAAATGCCATGCTGTTATTTATTAGACACTCACTATTTTTGATAGGCCAGAGTATCTTCATTGTTCTTAGGAAATAATAGCAGTCAGCCAGTTTATGAATCCCTGGTGAACACTTGAAATATTAAAAGAATTGTGGAATATTAAGAATCACATATTTAGTCTTTTCTCAGGTAATTATAGGATCTGAAATATAACTCATAAATAATAATGAATACTATCAAGTTTCATAAAATGAGTCTTGTTGAACTTAAGGTATTAAAATATCTGTTGTGATTATACTGTATAATCTAAACAAGAAATAGAGTCACATAGAGTAGATAGCTCTATTCAGAAACTTCTGAATTTAATTTAAAAAAAAGGAATTAGCAAACATTTCTGGGTCCTAAAGTACTAACACTATTGTATTTATACAAATATGGAAATATAAATTTTATTTCAAACATAAAGCACTGAAGAGCATAACTAATTTAAAGGGAATGCAGGCAGGCCCTAAGATTTATTGATGTATATTTACCCAATGCTTTAAGTTAGGGAATAAAGGCTAAATTTAAATCACTTAAAGTCTTGGAGATTGATTAATAAAATTTACTTTTCAGATTAAATGGCTGATGATAAGCTTAAAAAAAACCATTATCAATGCTATCAATTGATTATAGTTGCTTTTATTTATGTCTAAATATGACTTACTCCTTATGAAAGTGTATATGCCTATACAGAGCTTAGCTAACATAAAAAAATCCTCAAATTCTTAAATCCTGAACTGGACATTAATATCTCTGATTAGTTGAGATACTTTTACATAAACAGACTTTTATCTCTGGTTATTTCCTCAAGCTTAAATTCAATTATGACAATTTAAAAAAATATATTAGCTGGGTCTCTGATGTATATTTCATTTAAATGCTTTTAAAAAATATTCTCAAGAAAATCCAAGTTGTAATTTACTTTATAACCTCAGAGAATCCTTTTTAAATTTACACTTTTAAATCTTTTATTTCTGAATACTGTGTCTTTATACTTTTAAATCTTTATTTCTGAATATTGTATCTTTATACTTTTCTATTATATTTGTTTTACCCTTTAAACATTCATACAACAATTTAATTCAGAGTTTTATTAAGTAAATAATATTGTTCTGCCCTAACAACTTCATTAGTCCAGAAAAAGCCCCAAACTGTGAACTGTTTATCATATAGAACTCTTCACTCTTACCAGCTTCATAAAGCTCTTACAAAATTGTTTCATGAATAGCATTAACTTTGGGACCATGAGAAATGTAGTCACATAAATATTCAAATACTCTATTTAAATCCTAAAAGAATCTACCACTTCAAAACTATCTTCCAAGACTATTTATATAAGACCTTGCTCAGCTTGCTAACCAATAACTTAATTATCATCTGAACCAAGACCATTCAGTATTATTGCCCTTCATCCATTTTTCAAATACCAAACTTGAACACAGTGTAATTCTTTTAAGAATCTTTATTGAATTTTTCCAACAATTCAGTCTGTTCAATCTTGATGCAGTTTATAAAAAGAAAAAATTCAGTACAGTTTCATATAAACTGCAATCAAAAAAAGTAATTTACTTTGTGAAAGAAGTTATCTGAAGTTGCAAGTTATTTTTTGTAATATGCAGAACAGTAAAATGTAAGCATGCTCTTGGATGCAGGTGCTCCTGTGCACTACAGAGTTATTTTAAGAGCTTGCTAAGGTCTGCAGGCAGTTCATGGGATGCATGAGGATAAAACTGATATTTATGAATAAAGTATTTTTCTCAAAAAAAAGTTGAGGCCGTTTCTGTTGGATGCTATCTGTGTAGGTACACTTGCTACACCTTGATGTGTACTAAGAGAAACAGCAAGGAGTCCATGCTGAAACTTGAAAAATCACTCCACATGTGTTGAGGAGTTCCAAGAAAAGAAAGAGGGCAAAACACTATGCACAGTTGTTCATCGTCTTACATTCTTACATTAATAGAACACACCGAGAAAATTTACGTAACAAGAAGCAAAACCCCTTCACTGCTTTCAAAGTCAGTGGTGTCTATAGTGGAGGGTGGAAGTAGAGCAAGCCTAATACTGGATAAAGCTTAAGTCTACACCTCATGCAGAGTTGTCCTTTTTCCCCAGTCCTCTACTGCTCCTCAGACATCCGAATTAGAACTGAGGTTTGTTAACCTGGGGTCCGCATTGATTTCATATCTGTAATGATACCCTTCCATGTGATCCCTGCAGGCATCTCTGATGTTATGCATCCACTTTTTTATCCCCTTCCGGTTCAAATATAAAACAAGGAGGAAAATAGCGCCTATCAGGGCTAAAACAATACCCAGGAAGACATAAGAAGTCTGCAGGGATGGCGGGAGGACAGGGTCACAGTCCAGGTCAGAGCTGTTGAGTTCCAAGAGGACCCGATTCCTCATTTTTTCCGGGAATGCACAGGTGAGCCTGGCTTTGCCCTGAACTATCTCTGTCTCCTTGAGCCAGTCCACCATGTCCGCCATGTGGCAGTCGCAGACCCAGGGATTGTTGTCCAGGAATAACCTGACATGGGCCAGGCCTTGCAACTCCGCCAGGGTGCCATTGTGAAGGACCTTGAGAGCATTATCCTCCAGGTGGAGGCTTTCTAGGTATGTCAGGTTTCGGAAGGACACGTAGGTCAGGCTCACCAGCGAGTTGTTCCGCAGGTCCAGGTGCCTGAGGCTGGGCAGTTGAGCCAGCACGTCCCGAGGCAGGTAAAGGAACTGATTGCTGCCCAGGTCCAGGCTACGCAGCTCGCGTAGTGCGTGGCCCGTGCGCAGGGCCGCGGCCACCATGCCCTCGAAGCTTCGGTTCTGCTTCAGTAACTGGTCTGCAGGGGGCACGATGTGGTTCAGGATCAGTTCCTCCAGGGGGCTGGGAACAGAAGCACTGGTGTTGTTGCCCGAGAAGGCGAAGGGACTGATATGGGCGAGTGGGTTGTGGCTGAGGTCGAGCTGGCGCAGGCTAGGCAGATGATCGAAGGCGTCGGCGTGCACCTCCACCAAGCGGCTGCCACTGAGGTTGAGCGCGGCCAGCTCGGCCAGCGGCGGGCGGCGGGCAAAGGCGCCGGCGGGGAGCACGGCCAGATGATTACCGGTGAGGAAGAGGTTGCGCACATAGAGTGGCAGGTCCGCGGGCACCTCGGTCAGGTTGCGGTTCACGCACTTGACGGTGCGCGCCGCTTCGGAGCACTCGCACATCGGTGGGCATTGGCTCGACAGTGGAGGCTGAGCAGACACCGCCGAGCCCAGGAACGACACTGAAGAGGTGGAGGAGTACGCGGAGGACGTAGGAGAGGACGAGGAGACCCAGCCCAAGAGGACTAGCGCCAGCCGCGCCAGCCGCAGCCGCCCGTCCCCGGCGGCGGGGCCTCGGGAGTACCCCCCAGGCATCGCGGCTCGCGTCTTCTCGGAGCTGGGCTGGGACGGCGCCCGCTCCGAAGGCTCGGGAGGCTGGGCCCGGAGGGAGCGAGCCGGCCGGAAACGTCTGGAGAAAACTTTCCTCTTGTGGGAGCCGAGGGGGACCACCGTAGCCGGAACTTGGCTAATAACCCCCTCGCCACCAAGCGTCCCCCTCCCGAGGCTAATTCCCCCGCCCTTCCCTCCAGAAAGTACGCACGGCGGGTAGGGACGCAGGTCTCCGCGCTCCTCCTCCCGCTCCTCTTCCAGCGCTGCCCTGGGTGGCACCTCCTTGCCTCTTGATATTGGCGCCAGTCGGTGGATCCGCTGCGCGACCTGGGATAAGCGAGAGAGAAGCGTGAAGACCCGGGTGTACGCCCCTCCCCGAGAGAAGTAACCGGTCTCTGAGAGCCACGGTCTCCACTCTGTCCCAGAGACCTCCTTCCAACCGCCCGCACTGTCTTCTCCTCCCCCAACCGCATCGCACATCCTACCCCGGAGCCGAGCAGTATCTAGTTCCAAGACCCGGAGCGCCAAGTCTGGGCTCGCCCCGGCCCACACTATATATACCCATCTAGCCTCCCGCCCTCCTCCTTCCCCGATCTCACACATCTCCCGCCAATCCCCAGCGTCTTCCCAACTAAACTTCTCAATCTTCCAGTTCTTTTCTCCCACCGCCTCCGCGGACCACCTGCCTTCAGGGGTCTCCGCCTCCGCCCAGACCTCTCCTCCAGGTCCAGGTTAGGACCAAAGGGAAGTTTCAGGTTACAGGAGTCCTTTGATCTCTCTTTGAATCTTCTTGGATTAATAGGGAATGGAGGGGCGTAGAACTGTCGCCCCCCACCCCCAACCCGCGCCCCGCCAGTCTCTTCGATCCTAGAGGGGGTTCAAGACCTCTCCCAAGGAGAGAAACGGAGTCCGCGAACAAAGCGGCGGTGGGTCCCGGAGCTGGTGGCAATCAGGACCAAAGCTACTCTCCTGCCGAGGACAGGGAGCGGCCCCGGCGCCACCTCTGGGTTTTTGCTCGGTTTCTGGCTCCCCACAGCTCACCTCCGTGCCCGCCACCTCCGAAGCCAACTCGGAGTCCCACCAGAGTCAGGGCGACTTCCGGGCTCCGCGCTGCAAGCGCCGACTCTCCTAGCACCCCAGCCCCTGGCCCAACCGCCACAGCTGGGAAAAACCAAGCCGGGGGGAGGGGGAGGGCCTGGCCTGCAGGAGGGATTTTGGCCGCGCAGCCAACCTTGGCAGCCCTAGGTAGGGTGGAATTAGGAAGGGAGATTGGGTGATCCGGCTGCGCGCCTCCTCCTGGTGGAAATCAACGAGGAACGTGCCGGAAAAGGTGAGGGAATCCCTCTCTCTTCCCCCTCCCCGGCATCCTTTGGTGGTTCTACACTTTGCATACAGTATTTACCTCGGACAGGAACGAAACCGCTGGGGAATCTCGTGGAATTTATCCTGCTTCGGGCTCCTTTGGCAGCGACGAGATAAAGGCGTGACGGAGCAGCGCAAAGCAGCAGCTGCAGCAGCAGCAAAAAGAAATGAGCTGAAATATACAGCGGCAATAGCAAACGCCGAGCAGTGTGTAAGGGAGCTTCCGAAAGTCTCCCCACCAAACTGGTACCTTTGGCTGTCAACTTCAGATTTAAGTGTTGTTAATGCGTTCCCACCTGTCCCGCCCCCGCACGTCTTGGGTAGTTATGGGAACTTGTGAAGAGAGAGAACCAACTTCGGGGGAGGGGCGGTTGAGAAAGATTAGTGGAGTGGAGGGGAGACTTATTCTTGATTCATTAGGTTTTTCTCCTCCAAAAATTAAAAGCAGAAGAAAGAAAACGGCAGCCAAAGCATTTTAGAAACAAAAGGCAAATAGCAACCAAGTGAGTCACCCAGAAAGCAGACCCGCCCTCCCCACCGCCTGCAGATGTGGCGCCTTCTGTCAGAGCAAGTAACTTAAGCTGAAGAGAACTTGGTGGGATGGGGAATAAACCAGGCTGATCCGGGAATGCAAAAGTTTATCCCAAAGTCCCTAGTCCCAGGGGGCACCCTGCAGGGAGCAGGACTATGGGGTTGGGGGAAAGAACTAATAAAGTGATTGATTACAGAAGGAATCTGTTATTATATTGGAGCGATTCTTGGATCCTGAAAGCCTTGTCATTGCTCTCTCAAAAACTCTATATCCCCTTTGCCCCAATCAAATAACTTCCTCCACAGTATTAAGAAGGTCTTGGTTATTCCAGGTTTCTTCATATTAAAGAGGGGGATAAATGATATTAAGGAAAACGGTTGAGAAAATTAAGATCTGGTACAATAAAAAGGATCAAATAAGTAATGTTGAAGTTTGTTCCTGTAACATGTCTAGTGTGAGGGCCCCAGCTCTGCATCTATTCATGGTTAGTAGAAAGGGTCTGCAGAAACAACAACAAAAATGGCCCAGACAAAAAAGCTGCAGAGATTGGAGACTGCAGAGATTTGTGCAAAAAGCCAGTTTCATTAATTTGCATCTTCAGCACATTTATCTAAATCCCTTTCTTTTATTTTTTGCAACATAAATGTGAAACATTTTTTGCAAAAAAGAATCTGAAAAGCTGTAGTCATGTTCTGTATCCCAATTGTGGTGATGTTATATAAATCTATACATGTGTTAAAACTCATGATACTTTTTACACTATAAAGAGGCAGTTTGAATATATGATAATTTTTAAAATAAAATTAATTAAAATTGTAGTGATGCTGGGGCATTATTTAAATCTTTGATTTTATAAAATCTTTTGATTTTAGCAAAAGAGCAACTGCTCTGGTAGAAGAGTGAGACATTTTAGAATATAGAAAAACAATACATATTCTTATCCGATCTTCAAAACAGCTCAGAGGCAAGGGAGATATCATTAGTATTTATGTCTTGTGGAGGTTGTTATTGTTCTTTCTTTCTGTACTGGGGATTGAACACAAGGCCTGGAACGCGCTAGGCAAATTGTTCTACTACTAAGCTACATCCCCAGTCTTTAAATTTTGACACACAGTCTAGCTGAGTTGCCCAGGTAGGGCTGGAATTTGAGATACTCCTACCTAAGGACCTGCCAAGTAGCTGGGATTATAGGAATGTACCACCAGGACTGGTTTGTGTATTTCTTTTTCTTAATCTTTAAAATAGGACCACTAAATCTGGTGGAGTGACATGTGCTGAGGCAGGAGGATCTCCAGTTCAAGTAACATAGCGAAAACCAATCTCAAAAACAAAAAAACAAGATACCCTCCCCTAAAAAAACATTAGTACCACTAATAAAACTTTAAGGCATTTTTTTTTCATGAGAATTGAAATAATGTATGAAACATATTTAGCAAAACCACCTGTTGTTACTGTTTTCTCCTTAATTACTTTCCCTCCTGTCATTTATGGTGACCTATTTTATCTCTGCAACTGTTAGTGACAGAAGTACAGGATGTTTAATTAAAGGTCTCCTTAAAGTAGAGTTTCCAAATTTAACAAATAAAAATTAGGAGACTCCTAGTTAAACTTGAATTTCAGATACACAATGAAAACATTTCAGTAAAAATATCTTTCATTCAATATGTGGGAAATTCTTTCACTAAAATACTTGTTTCTAATTGGAATTCAAATTTAGTTTGGCATCCTGCAATTGATCTAGCAACAAAGCAGCTCATAATCTGGTAAACAAACACAGAAATGTAAGTTCTTAGTGCAGACTTGGGGAAGTTTGGTGTATACATCTTCACCCCTATTTTTTGTATATATTTTGCTTCTGTTTCTGTTATTTTTTTTTTACTGAATGAGATCAGAATACATATATCATTCACAATCTTTTTTTAAAAACAGCCATACATATTTTTTATGTCCATCCAAATAGGTATGCTTTCTTTGAGATTGTAGACTAGTCCATATTGTAGATTGTTACTGTACAATTTTTTAACAGCCCTATTGAAAGACATTTAGATCAGTAACTACTTTTTAAAGAAGTTTTCTGCAAGTAAGAAAAACTTACGAGGATCAGTTCTATTTTGTCTCAAGCATTTAATTATCCTAAATTATCATACTTTCTTTACTCCTGACAGCTTGAAATTTTTTGTGCATGATGCTATTTACATGCTAAAGCGGGACAGAGGATTTCAGAGCACATTTTTCCCCATTTATTCTTCCATTTCAAAATGAAATAAAGGAAAGAGCTGAATGTCCTGACAAATAAGAACCAATTTAGTGTATCTCAATAGGTCACATTGTAGCCTCCAGAAAAATGTCTCTATAGTATCATTTATGTAGATTATTTCTGCATAAACTATTTTTCTAGTTACCCAAAGGAAAGTCATCCACACATTATTGAAATATTGCTGCTAAATCCTGAGAAGGCAAGGAATAAAGTAGATGAAAAAGGAAAAAAAAGGCTGGGGGTGGGGGTGCTGGGGTTGTGGCTCAAAGTAGAGCACTCACCTAGAATGTGCCAGGCGCTGGGTTTAATCCTCAATGCCACATAAAAATAAGTAAATTAAATGAAGGTATAAAAGAAAAAAGGAAAAAAATGATGAATGATTATGGCCACTCTTATGATAGCTAGCAAAGCAACACCATGAAGCCCAGATATATAATAACCAAGATTCTTAAAACTAATTTATTTTCATCCTTGCTTAATTAGCAAAGGAGTTGAAAGAGGTGAACATTCTTAAATATGAGAAATACCCCAAAGTCAAGTCCTGGTGAACACCAAGCATGTATGTTATAAAACCATGAACCAACACTAAAAACAACCAACATGAGAGTCACAGTGACAAAAAGAGAAATTATACATATGGACTAATACTTTTTTAAAAACCAGAAGAGTTAAAAACAAATACTATTCTCATGAGCTGATTTCAAATAACTTTAGAAAGAATAGTCATCTGAGATATATAGCCTTAATTAAGTAAAATAAAAATGAGAGAATGGACTTAAAAGGACATATTTGTCTCAGTCACTACAAGGAGGATGGAAGCTAGTTTAAAAAAAGCATAATAAAGATGATTTGAAATTTGTTGGGGATTAAATAACTATTAGATAAAGAACAAACTAAAAGGCTGTGATCAACTGGAAAGAATAAACTAGCTAGCTAAAGGATGAGAAAATATTGAAAGACAAACAAAACAATTATATGGTAATATGCAGAGCTCTCTAAATACCTATCACTATCACTGAAATTTAGTCCAATAAATGCTTTTTTAGATGAGTGTGGAATCCCAGCTACTGAAAGCTGAGGCTGGAGAAACAAGCTTGAGAACAACCTGAGCAACTTAGACCCTGTCACAAAGTAAAAAAAAAAAAAAAAAAAAAAATCAAATGCACTGGGAATATAGCTTAATGGTGGAGTACTTGTCTGCATACATGAGTCCCTGGGTTCCATCCCCAGCACTACAAAAAGTAAACAAATAAATGTTTTTTTAAGACCTCCTCATAAACCTCTATCTATTTGATACACTAGATAGGATTAAAAATCCCTTCCCTCAGATAACTCACAATTTAAGGGAAGAGCAGACTAACAGTTACAAAACATAAAATTGATACAAAGCTCAGGATTAAGTGGGAGAATGACAAATGGTTTTACTGGATGGTAATGCCTAAGTTGCCTTTTGAAGTATTAGTAAGAACTTGCCAGACCAAAAAAAAAAAAAAAAACCAGCAAAGTTGGTGAAAAGACTGAGAATTTTTTTTTAAATTCTGGAGACTACATGGGGAAGAGTACAGCTACATAGGAAAAGGTTTATAGGTTAGATTTGAAATATGATAGGATCAGATTAATGACCTCCATCCAATCTGAAAAAAAAAAAAAATGTGTTTTACCCTATAGTGCTGGGGAACCAATATAGATTTTCAGCAGGGGAATGACATGTAATTCAACATGTATGTTGAATTATAAGCAGAGAAGACTGAGAATAAGGAGAAAAGTTGGGAAGTCCAAGTGAAAGATGAGGAAACATACTGAAGCAGAAGTAAAAGATTACCATGCAAGAAGAGATTTTATTGACCAGTGACTCTCCACAGTGAGACACTGCCCCTAGTGGGCATTTCGTATTCTTCTGGAAGCATTTTCTGATTGTCAGCAATAATTGAGAAGAGCTTTTGACATTTAGTAGGTAGAGGCCAGGGATACTAGTCATCGTGTAATTAGGGGAGCAATTCCCTCCAATCAAGAATTGTTCTGAATCGCACATAACTTTCAAATAGCCATTTAGGTATTCTCATAGATGAAACCCTGAAGTTTCAGCCTAGAATCAACTCCATTTTACATTTAAACTCCAAATACTTTTCATGTGTGTGTGTGTGTGTGTGTGTGTGTTTTTTACACTGGAAATACAACTATGTTGTTTATTAATGGAAGAATGTATATTGTTTTGTTTGGAAATTTACCTAAACTTTATCTCCAGCAGCCACACCACTCATTCTATTTGAATCACCCACAAACCCTACCTGTGTCAGTTAGTTTGCATTTATAGTTATATTTGCCATGATTTTTACTTCCAAATGTCTAATACTGAAAAATGCTATTCTCAGTAGCTTTACAATATCAGTCTAACATCTCTTAAATCCTAGCTTATTTATAGGGTGGAAATATATCACCACTTCCTTAAGGCTTCTAATGTACTTATTCCCAAACATTTCTCTGTCGTACCATATATATTATTTAATATGTGATTACTCTCCTTTTATTTCTCCTTTAGTATTATAGTTAATATATATGTATATTTAAAATTAATTGTGAAGTTACATTTATATAATTAAGGGACTTTATAAAATATTTGTTTTTG